GTGCCACGCTAGTAGTAACAAGTGCCTTACTAGTAGTAACAAGAAGCCATTAGAAACAAGTGCCACGCTAGTAGTAGCTTCTTGTTCCTAGTAGTACGGCCAGGAGCCCCTAGCGTTGAAAGGACCCCCAAAAAGTTTTCTTTCAACCTTGTAACGCATGTCATTTGTTTCTCACCTACAGTAAACATGTGTGTGTAACTATGTCAAAAATGTCTTGTCAGCTATCACATCATATCATCATATCAGTTGTTGCCTTCTTTATAACTAATATACCGTATGATATACCTTTAGACATTCATTTCTTTCTCTTCCTTTCTCTTCTGGGCATTTTCTAAGAGAAACATCCCAACGATGCAGTATCTTCAGGCCTCTTCACGGTCAACTTCTTCTCATGCTTCTTCTTTTTCTGCTTCAGGACCACCTGCATGTGTGTCGACAAAGGGAAACCGAGACCAAAGGAACTGTGCTCAAAGGAACTCCTTCGCCTTTGCTACCACTCCTTCGGGAAAGGCTACAAAGGAGAGGTAAGCACGCGACAAGGAAGCACGCTGAGGTAGGACGCAGAAGCGATGGCCTCCAACCTAATAGCAAAAGGAACCTAATGGCATTTGTTACTACTAGCTTCTTATTACTACTAGTAGGGCACTTGTTACTAGTAGCGATGCACTTGTTACTACTAGCTTCTTGTGACTAGTAGTAATGGCCTCCAACCTAATAGGAACGGCCTCCTTGCTCTGATTTCGCTTCCACTGTCCCGCCTCGGGCTCCTCCTCAGTAGCATTGCTAGTGTTGCTCTCCTGGCTGATGCAGCAACGCCCAGCAAGACAAACAAAGATGCCTGGATTTTCCAAAAATCTAGGATCCTTTCAATAGCTTTCAACCATTCTAAGAATCGTCTCTTGCAGTCAGGGCCGGAACTTTTAAGAACCCGGCATCCAACTGGCTTGCGAAAGTAGCCTACTTGCTTGGCTTACTGCTTGCCCACCTCTACTCTCTACCCCTGCTACCCCTGTCTTCATGGCTTACTTATACGAACTCAGAAGGGTAGAAGGGTCACGAACATCAGTTAAAAGGCCAGGAGCCCCTAGTAGCGTCCGATCGCTCCTAGTAGCGATGCCAGGAGCCCCTAGTAGCGTCCTTGTTACTAGTAGCTTCAAAGACCTACTAGTAGCTTCTTGTTTCTAGCAGTAAGGCCAGGAGCGCCGCTAGTAGCGTCCTTGCTCCTAGTAGCGATGCCTTTTGTTACTTGTAGCTTCTTGTTACTACTACCATGGCCTCCTTCCTACTCTGTAAGAGAAAATCAATACCATCTGGCCCAACCCTTTCACTGCCGATGCATTCTTAAAACCTTAGCGCGGTTTTATTTGGGCATTCTTGGCACTGAATGCCACCAGAATCATTGTCAACACAAAAAACCTTAAACAACTGGTCCAATATAGGCCGAAGATTGTTGAGCAAAGGGAGCACGAGCAGCAAGGGGGTCTTGATGACCCTAGCCGCAGCCAGAGGACCAGAAGGGAAGAAACAAATACACATGAGAAACAATGAAAAAGGACCGGTCTAATGGAAGGAATCCGCTTCGGTCTAGAACAAAACATAACAGAAGCACCTCGCCCTAGATGACCAAGGACACTTCAGGACAACAGCCGCTTCCCTCAACATCTAGGAGCCAAATCAATTATGCGAAGGCTCTTATGCGTCCGATTGCTAGTAGCTTTCCTTGAGTTTGCTATATAGCTACTTGTTGAAGACTAGCTTCCTTACTGCGCCCACCCTCCGCCAGAGACAACTTTTGCAAAGCAAAGCATTCCCTAGACTTGTCCGCCCACCCATTCCTCTTCGGTCTTCTCAGCATTCTCGGCACTTTCCTGGGGACTCTCAAGCGGCAAGAAACACAAGAAACATAAGAGCCACGTGGCACTTGAATTTGAATATGTATATTATGTATAGTGTTCATGAATATATATATATATATATGTATACATGTGCATGCGATTCTCTCGAATCTGACCCTGAGAACCTTTTGGATTGCAGGCTTGGAAACTTGAGTGCTGCTTAGTTTAGGAAGACAAAGAAAGGTGATTCATGTACCAATGGCCCAATTAACAACACTTGAGAACCTCAATGTAAAGGAAGGGGAACAGTATTCTTGGCATGGTATGAATTGTAGTGTGCAATGTTGCTGCGGGTAGCGCACATTTTTCTGCCGGCGCAAAGAATCCTTTGCAAAAGCTAAGCTTTGAGCCGCGGAACAGTAACCTGAGCAGAATCTGCCAGCTGACAAGCAGCTGAAGGGTTCACTGAAGGGTTCGCCCATCCCGGATATTGAACAGTTGGAAAGTCTATCAATCAAGCTAAGCAATAAACAAGGGTAATTGGCCGTGGGCTGGCTGAGTACAAAGCGAGCTGGCAAAACAAAAGGAACAGTTCAATAGGTCTAAGTAGCTTGAGGTGTTAGCTGCGATTCACCAGTTGGCTATCCTCAATTGAAGGACCATTAAGGCCCTGGTAGCTCTCCTCCACATCAGCTTCGATCAATGATGCTCTCCTCAATTCGTCTCACTAAAGCAATCAAAGGTCATATCAATCCTATGGGAACAAAAAAGCTAACATGGCCTCCACCCGAATAGCGATGGCCTCCACCCGAGTAGCGATGGCTTCCAACCTACTAGCAATAGCCTCCAATCTAATAGCGCCAAACAACAACACATTACGACACAAATAGCGCCACAATAAATACGCCACAGCGCCCTGATTTCATCGAGGAGATCTGACGGCGGCCCCATCCGCCCGGCCAATCCAGCTTGCAACCGATCCGTGCCAGGAAGACCACTGCTGCTGTGACCGCCACGAAGATCCCCTGTTCGTCTTGTCGTTTGTCTTACCGAACATCAACAAAACATCTATCTAACCTTTTGCCTTTATCTTTTGCTCTGCAACAACTCAGTGAGGGATTCCCTTGTTCACATGTCCGAGATATCATAGTAGACTTAAATTTGTCTAGAAGATTGAGGACTAGAAAGGGACACGACATTTTTCTTGGTGTAAATTCAACAAAAGGTCGCGCTCTCAGCCTTCTGCCTTTTGAACAATTGCAGAAGAATCTGAAATCTATTGCAATGGCCTCCACCTACTTAACTACTTGCGATGGCCTCCAACCTACTAGCGATGGCCTCCAACGTAGCTTCTGCCAAGTAGCAATGTTTGCCCATGGGATGTACAGCTCTGCACCAGGACAAAGCGATCCACTCTCGGCCAGTGTCAACTCAGCTTTGACCTTGTTGTAGATTCGGCTCATGTCATCCTGAAATTGCAAGTACTCCTGGAGGGTCGACGGCAATGGGCACAGCGAAAACCACATGTATACCGGGAGAGCCGGGAGAGTTGTCTAGCCACTTAGATACTTCTTGTTACTACTAGTAAGGCACTTGTTACTACTAGCGATGCACTTGTTACTAGTAGCTTCTTGTTCCTAGTAGCTTATTGTTACTACTAGACTTTGGAGAAAGGATTTGTTTCACGGCCTTGATATTCCTTGGTGCTTGAAGGAACAAACTAGGGCTACATGTGGCCCGACCGCAGTATGTCATGTAACTGGACAACACATGGAGATTCCCTGTACGATTGCAGGAAATTGCAAAATGTTGGTGGGATAAAATAGTTGTCGGAGGCCATCGCTATTGATTTCAGATTCTACAAATGTGGAGCGGCTACGGAAGGTCACTTTGGGCTCCTAGCTACGACGAACCTGAGATGACCTGAGGATCTACATGGATGGATCCTGATGTTTCATAGTCTCGTAGACAACCATTGTCTAATACCGATGCCCTTGCTCCTAGTAGCTTCTTGTTCCTAGTAGTAAGGCCAGGAACCCCTAGTAGCGTCCTTGCTCCTAGTCTCGTTGAAATCGCCTGTCCTCGGCCAGGTGCGCAGGAAACTCTGTCGTATCCTGAGATCACAAAGGACCCACATGAGGAACGTGCATCTTCTGTCATCCTTTCCTCGGCCTCGAGGACTGTACAAGACAGGAATAAAAGAAAGGAACATGAGAAGGCAAGGCCCCTTATTCAAGGGGCCCTGACCTTCTTATTTTCTTTGCTTTGTTCCTATTAGGTTGGAGGCCATCGCTAGCAGGTTGGAGGCCATCGCCATCAGGAATAAAGCAAAGAAAATACGAAGGTAGCGTCCTTCCTCCTAGTAGCGATGCCCTTTGCTCCTAGTAGTAAGGCCAGGAACCCCTAGTAGCCCTAGTAGCGTCCGATCGCTCCTTGTATTGGGAAGTCCATCTGAGTCACTTGAGGTTCAATGCACCCACAAGACCATACGGCGTCACTCGGCTACCCGTGCAATCCAGGAGTCATAAACATAGACGGTCTTTTCATGCAGATTGTCACCATCTCCACCTTGCCCAGCAATCAGACTCACACGACCAGCTTCCTTCTGCAGGTCGCCGATCCTGATTTTGTGCTTGTGGATGCTTGTGGGCTGGACATGCGAATCTGTGGGTAGATGATATTAGATTTGCTCATCAGTGCTGCACACAAAACCGCAAGCAAAAAAGTATTAATTTCTCTCAGGATCAAGGATGACTTCATTCCACCAGGAATGCCAATCACAGACCTGCCAAACAAGGGGACTCACCCTGATGCAAACAAAAAACAAAGGAACATGCTTTCTTGCCGCTCTTAACGCTCTCTCCAAAGCAGTACACAAGCTCTCGATCGGCTCGTTTCGGTGTCCGAGCAGCGGATAGAACCTCAAATGCAAAGCTGAGAAACCCACCACACGCGCGCGCAAGAACATCCAAATGTTGAGCGATACCCTCATCTGGGACTTGTCGTTTTGCAAAACCCAATGAACTAAACCAACAAACCATAACAAATCCAATGATTGTCCATGGGATACCACCGATTTGTTTTGCCCCGCCTGTAACCTGCGCCAAGATTCTCAGCGTCTCTTCGACTGCCCTTGGGGCAAAGTTCAAAGAAAGCTTTGGCCAAAGTCAGCAGATCTGAAGAGCTGTTGCAGGAGATCTGCACCACCTCGGAATGAGGATTGAGGCCTTGAGATCCTTTTTCGTGTTATGCCTGAGGCCTTCACACCAAACACCCTGGCGGAAGGTAGCTTACCTCTTCTTTAAGTTTAAGCGTCCCAAAACAAACAGGATTCAAAGGGATAGTGCGAGGGCGTCAAAGAAGGGCCCTCAAGCTAACGGAACTAGTAGTTTCTTAAGCTACTGGCACTTTGCTTACTAGCTTCGCTTCCAGTTTCTCAGTTGCTTTTTTGTCTTCTAAATTATTCTAATATCTTCTAACCCCACAACAAATGAAGAGAATGCAAGTTTGCTAGGAAACACGGATCTTAGGGAATTAAGTTCAATTAAACACTATCATATTGAATGCATTATATGGCAAACATATTTCTTTGGTGCCTTTTCATAGCCATGGGCCCAGGACTTTCCAGTTAGTTTGGCTGAGCCGGCAGATCCCTCGGAGTAGTTTTTTCCTCTGATTTTTGCAATGAAACTTGGTCATGTACTAGGAACAAGTGCATCGCTTCTAGTAACAAGTGCCTTACTAGTA